ACGTCCCTTCGGAATGCCTACCTAAAGAGCATTAAAAGCAAAATATTAATAACTTTCTCGTGGCATAAAGGCATGAATCAAATGGACAGCTTTAAAGATCAGTGATGCAGTGGCGAAGTGCTTTGCACTTTGCAGTGTTAATCGGGGCGGAGAGTTAAAATGGGGCAGAGTGTTGGATTTGTAACACGTAAATAGTAACGTTCTGTATAAAAAAAAAATAAAAAATTTAGGTTAGGTTTAACCCTTCGCTGTGCCATCCCGGCGACGTACACCTCGGCACGACCTATCACGGCGACTGTTGCTTTCCCGGCATCGGTTATCCCGGCAATGCACAATTTCCTAACGCCGTCTGTCTGTCCAACCTCATTCCTCTTTTGTTTTTTTTTTTTGGACATAAATAATGATATGCTTTAGAAGCGGATGTCAAATTTGGTACCGAAAGTGGTTGTTATTGTGCCTGGACACACTGTAATTAATGCTTAGAAATAGGTATAGGAGACCGAAATATGCAAGGAAATAAGTTACACAATTGCCATCGGTACAAAGGACCCATTTTTAAACAATTGCGTTTTACCATTTACCTACGCAGGTAGATACCAGAAAGCTTTACCTACCTAGGGAGGGGTGGGAGGGAGGAAGGGAGGGAGGGACAGAGAGAGAGAGAGACGGAGAAAATAGAGTTAAAATTTTATTTATAATCTATTAATATATAAATTTTACCTGTCGGTCCATATCACTATTGTCTGATCCTTTGATGGCTCTAGATAATTATACAAGTATACTAGGTGGCCGAGGCCTACCCTCTCAAGACCAATCATCGCCGAGAAAGTCGCCGAAGCTTTTGATACCTGCTGACTATCTCGCTTCGGTTCCTCTACTAGCATCATGATCGATCAGCGAGGACGCAGTTTGAATCTTCCCGTTTTTGTGCCCTCAACATTGTTTTCGGCACACAAGGATTCGGGACCTGCAGTGGGCGAAATGACGGCAAAATGGTATTTGGACGAAATAATAAATGCAACCTCTTTTACAAAGTTTTATACAGTCCGCGCTTAGGGAATTTTTAGCGCATTTTTGCAAATTTATTTGTAATTAGTGCATTTTTGCAAATTTATTTGTAAAAAGTAGCTTTTAATCTCACGTTGGCTAGCTGGCTGGCAGCAAATGTGGGCGCGTAGAAGAACTCTTGTAGAAAGGCAACGGGTATACATGTATCTACCGGGCCGTGTAATTTGTCAAACTTAGGGACATTGCTACACAATGTGGGGTTGGCGACATCTGGGCGTCATCCTCGAGCGTAGTTTACTAACGTGAAGGTTTTTCAGTTTTTTCCTATCTTCTACTACAGTTTTGGTCTTGGTCCGATTCTTTTCAAATTGGTGTCGTCGGAAAAATGTTGTAAACGCGCACTCCTGCGTGGCGGAATTTTGTTTTTTGTCCTAGGGGCGAAATTAACAACCTCTTTCAAGGCGCGCGCGCGCGTCTCCGAGAGGTAGCCAACTTTCGGGCGCCTTTTACCTTCCGTTGCGAATTTTGTCACGCGGTTTAACGTTTCGTAAATCTCGAATCGCTGTCTCTCTTTCTCGTGTCGCCAATAGAAGCTCGAGCAATGAGAAGTGCCCCCAAAAATTAAGTACTATCTTGTGGAAGGTTTTTAGCGAAATCCACCAAAATGTGGGTGTAATATAAGTATGCACCGAAAAAGGAAATGTGGTAGCCTCCGACAAGATCTAACTGATGGTGGAGTGAAAACTTCAAACGCGAATTTGGGGTGAACGGGGCGTCGGAAGTGGGTACCAACAAAGGGACTGCGGTAGCCCGCGACACGATCTTACTGATGGTGGAGTCAAATCTTCAATCGCGAACTGCGAGTAAATGGGGAGTCGGAAGTGGATACCAACAAAGGGAATGTGGTAGCCCTCGAAACGACCCTCCTGATGGTGGAGTCAAATCTTCAAACGCGAATTGCGGGTGAACGGGACGTCGGAAGTGGGTACCGTCAAAGGGATTGTTGTGTGGTAGCCCCCGACACGATCTTACTGATGGTCTAGTCAACACTGGCTATTAAAACACTGATCTGCCACACAAAAATGCGCTGAAGTCCCTTCGATCTCACACGAGGACTTTGATAATTTTTATCAATAGAACACACATTTGTAGCACACGAAAAAATCCCAAAACACAGGTTTTATGTTGGCATGCTTTATTATTACAAAGTGGTTGCAATTGCAACATTTTCCAGTATGCTGTTCTCTTGCCGAGAAGAATGGTGATTTGAATTCTTCAGAATGAAACTATATAGGCATTATGGAACTCTGATGCGAATGGGTCAAACGCAAATGATGTGAAATTTTTACTGGAAACGTGAGAACCCTTGTGGCCATTGAAGTAACAAAAACTGCACAAAAAATTATTAATTTATTAATTATTTATTATTTAACAAAATTTTCAAAAGAGCAAAATGCAACACACAAGATGCAAACCTGCACTCTACCGCACATTTCGTGACGATTTGATGCAAATTTTCAATGTTTGGAAATTGCATTGAAGAATTTTTTGTGCGTCCGGATTACATTTAAATTGCGCATATGAAAACTATCGATAAACGTATTTGATGTTACTAAATCCGAACGTGACACGGTGCCCATTTTCAAAATTGAAGGTCTCATGAATCATGATGCTTTAGGTTTTCCGTGAACCCGGATTTAAGGAGAAGGTTCTGTACTGAACCCTAGCATTGAATAAAAAATTCAATGACCCTAGTGAGTCGATTAACTATAATGAAAAATATGAGTTTTGCTCTAGAAGTTTAGGTCCACCACGACACGACAAAGCCGGAAGTTCTTCGACCCATGACAAAATAAATTTGAAAAATTAGAACTATAAAAGAGAAACGAATGTAAAATAGCTGTTTCAACTAAATACATAACGCAGAATCGTGCAGTCTTGAAGGGAAGTCGCCAAGTTGCAATTGTCGTGCCTTCATCTGGCGACTGTTTTTCAGCAATTTTTACATAACTTAATTAAGCTACTCGCCATTTACAACATAAACAACACAAATCGTGATAGCTTCTTGTATCAGATTCCATCATTTTTGGGGCATTTTACTTTTATATCCCGACTAAAATTATCGCAGTGTTAAATGACGGAGATTTACAATTTTGCATCTCAATTAATTAATTATCAAAACACGTGCATCTATTCTTATCGTATTTCAATAACAATCAAAGGAGTCGGCGGCATAGATATGTAATAATTTATAAACCCTTCGTTTCTTGTAATATTAGCACTTTTGAGATAGTGTCTGGTTACGATGTAGATTATGGGTTTGTAAACAAGTGTTTCCATCCATCCTTTACACGAAATAATGTTCAGTAGCATATTGCTCGTACTGGGCATCAGTCGTCGGGGAATATTTAAACATTTAACAAGTGTTCGCGTTTATATTTTTTTAATCTCAATTTTCGAGCATCGGCGTGGTCATTTATTGCTTACTGTTTAGTGTACCAACTGTCGATTTGATTTATTTCCTGCTTTCATATGGTGTCTGGAAGTTTCGCACCAAAATGAAAGAAATCGGGTACGCATGCAAAGATGTTCGTACTGCTACCAGAATCAGAGAGACCAGATGGTCAGATATTGGTGATCTTAAAGTTCCCATCGTCTTCGGCGACAAAAAAAAGAACAATAAAAGAGACGCAGGTAGTTATGTTCGGAAGTGTCGCAGCAAAAAGAAAAAAAGAAGAAACGTATATAGTGGTAATTGGAAATTGTGCACCAATAAGAAAAATAATAACCACGCAGATAATGATGACAAAACGAACAGAAGGGACGCAGATAGTGATGATCGGAAGGTTCCGACCCGCGGCACTAAAAAGAGAAATAGGAGACACTCAGGTAAGGGACTTTTTTCAAACCAATGTCGACGGATATACTGATAAGAAAAAGAGTAAAATTTTTATTTTTGTTTTGTTCTTTCGTCCCTCAGTTTGTTACGACCCACTTTTGCGTTTTAGAACTACTTATAGGGAGTTCTTGGCGGTAAGCCAAGTTTTTGTGCCGCTTTTAAAAAATTTCGTACCCGGCAGAAAACGAACTTAAAATTCAAGTCTATAATCGTCTTGAACAATAAACTGTCGCACTCACATGGGGTGCTTCGTCCATTCCTCACACATTAACCAGTTGGAGGAAAAAAGAATGTATACATAAAAATCACAAAAACTTTAAATACGTCGATTCCGACAGCATGAGTGACGCCCGTTTGAATTTGCCGTGGTTTTTGGTATTTGTTGCGGTATTATTTTAATGGCACACAAGCGTTTCACTGTTGTCAGTTAGTATGTGCATTACTTTTTTTTTTAAATGTTTGATCGCGCCTGTGTGCGCTATTTCAATTTCAACGCAAATAACAAAGTTCGAATGCGATATGTTGGCGCCACGATTTGTCAATAGCTCTACGTTTTGTTCATTTCATCCACACTACACGTCTTGAAGCAAATTATTAAATAAAAATTCATCTTTGAGGCGCTTTCGGCTAGTGCTAAGGACGGACGGACGGAGTAGTATTAGTCGTGTTTCATGATATGTACGCTACAAAATATACAGATAACCAAATTAATAATAAACAACGAAATCCAACTAATTCTTAGTTCCATCCTCCTATGCTATAGTTGTCGAAAAAAACAGCGAAAAATTTTGAACTTAAACGTTGTTCAGAAAAATGTATGTGTTTGTCCCTCCAAATGCATGTCTACCCTGCACAATATGAGCAGTGGCCTACTTTTCAAAATGCAGTTCGACGCTATGCTCTAAGTCAAAATCTTGTTTTTTAGAGTTTTTGAGCTTATTACTTTGAATGGATTTTTGGAGCCATATTAGGTTAAGAAAATAACATTTTCAATCATATATTCGAGTGGAGTGGAGCAAGTGATCCCGAGTAAATAAGGGTTATTTGTGTTTTACATATGGCGTTATACTGTTATCGTTTCAAATGTCTCCGATGGTTGCAAGGATTGCGAAATCTGTGAATTTTTTCATCATCATAGTACAAGTTGTCATAATGACTATCTGTTTTTTTTATATTTTTGAGCGTATTACTTTGAATGGATTTTTGGAGTCGTATTACATTTCCAAACTAAAAGGTTCCTGTTTGGGAGGAGAAGTAAGAAAAACGGCTCCGTAAGTTTATTCAAGTAAAAAAACTCAAGATCTGAAAGAAATTAGGTAAGTGCTGTTCCTCCGGGCGGCAGTTTTGTGAAGTATTTTACGCCCCTGTTTTTTGCTACGCTTGAGCCAACTAAGCATACATCCACCTCCGGATGAACAAAAACAATTACCTAACTGAAATCGATGCTTTAACTATGTTTATTAGGTTTCAGACCAGTTTTGAGTTTCTATATATACCTACACATGGTGTCCATCACTCCAATATTTTAGTCCCTGCCAAAAATATAAAAATATGCGAAAAACAATTTTATTGACAAAGGCACACTATATAATTTCGTATTATATGATCAATAGGCTAATGGTGAAAATGCAGGAATTTAAGTAATTTTTTTTAGGTGAACATTCCGTAAGCAAGTCTTCTGGTACGTCGACTTCTTCTGGTTATTCTCGAGGATCGCCGGATTACAATGAAAGAACCAAATCACGTTCTCGATCTCCGCATCACAGTACAAGTAAATCATGTAAGTATATATAAAAAATATCACCATCCCTCCATGAAACGACCCAGGTTCTGGGAGTTTTGAGAGCGAAAACTTTTAAAGCTGAAGTTTGTTTGAAAGTTTGTTCTTTCCTCGGTTCTTTCAATGGCCTAAGTTCTAGAGAACTTAGTAGTGTAAATGGCTAAATGCGATAGACATTGAGGCGCCATGACAGATTAGTCATCGGCGATAAATGACGTGGTTATTCTATCCTGAACATTCCGACTCGTCTAAGAACATTCTGGAACAATTGTCGTTTATCGTTAATGTTAATTAATTGTAAACAAATAAACGACGTAATTCAATTTACGTTACACTGGTGTCAAGTGTGTCAGATTATGTTTAAGTGAATAATTAGTGAAGCTAAAATCGCAGTAGGTCAACAATCAATGGAAGCTAAAATGGAAGCAGGCCGGCAAGAGATAAGAGGTATGATTCAGGATGAAATACAGAGTGTCCAAAATGAGGTACCGAGTGTTCAAGATAAAATTCATATGGTAGAAAATGAAATGAAAACTGAAATTAATGAATTACGAAAACGATGTATGGTATTTACTGAAGAACGCGAAAAAGTGATGTATCATCTGTGATAAGTGATAACACAAGATCTGCTGACTGTTCCACAATCGTCCCGCAAAGAAACGCCGAAGCGTGTGAAAGTATTGGTATGCCTAAAATTCGAGTTAAGCCGACATTCGATGGGCATTGGAAAAAACGACGAGGGCGGCGATGTGGAGGCCGTGGTGAAAAGCAAAAGGTATGTGCCTTGCATATTTGAACGATGTAATTGTGTTTTGTTGAACGTTCGAAGAGCACCTCCAGAAACTTGTAGTTGATGAGGTTGCGCTATATGCTCCCTTCCGCGAGACAGATTCTGGAAAGAAATCTTGGTGGCCATGGGCTATTTCAGCAAATGGACAGAAGCATATGCGCTAGCAAATCAAGAAGCGACAACTGAAGCAGACGTTCTGATAAAATAATTTTTTAGCATATTTGGAGTACCCCTGGAACTACACTCTGACCAGGGACTAAATTTCGAGTCCTCGCTATTCCAAAGCCTGTGTCAACTATTGGGCATTCGCAAGACCAAAACCACTGCTTTACATCCACAGTCAGATGAAATGGTCTGGAATGGAATAGGACAACGGGGAAGTACTTGTCAAAAGTTGTGTCCGATCATCAGTGTGATTGGGATCCATATCTGCATTGGGTTCCTTATGGCGAACCGTTCTGCGCTGCAGGAAACTACAGAACAGAGCCTAGATTGCGTGTTGTTATCAACTCGGAGATCTGGTTTGGTTGTAACTTGTATTGCCTATAGAGGATGCGCGGACTCTCCTCAAGGGGCAATGTAACCAGCAAGGTTTTTTTGTTAATTATTGAAGTGTATACATACTGCATTATTACCATGATAAAAAAAATGAAAAAAATATAAATGGAATATATAATTATTACAAATCAATAAGAGAAGTAAACAAACAATAACAGGAAAGGGTACGTGTATACAATGGTACACTTAATGAACGTAAGCAAAATAATTACGAATTTTGGAGTAGGATAAGTGAAGGAGTCTAAATCAGGCATTTAGAATATATTGGAATAGTAAATGATGATTTTCAAGTAAATAAGGGCAATCTAAAGTGTTGTTTATAAATTTTTGTTCCATTGAATGAATATCAAAACGTGCTAACAGCGTGTCCTCCGTTACGGATATTCGCCATCAATTAAAAGCAATGTATTTTAAACATCTACGCTGAATATTCTGAATGTCGTTTTTATACTCGTTTTTATATATGTTGTATAGTGGATACCATACGAGATCGCAGTATGTACTCGAGCTTAGAGCGAACCAAAGAGTAATACAAACGAAATAGTAAATTGATGTTTTAAATTGTTTCGTATTTCTTATGATGAATCATTGAGTGTGTAGTGAATATTCCAGAAATCCCGATAGATATCGAGGCGCCATGAATGATAGTCATCGGCGATAATGAGCGAAGGCGGATGTGACGCAATCTATTCTATACGGGAAAAATGGCGTGTTTATTCTAGAATCGTTATAATATTACTACATAAGCAAATTGTAGCGTATTTTAGTGGAGTTATTAATTGTAAATAAATAAACGACGTAAATTTACGGTACCTACATACCATACGAAGGGGGGTCATTTATCGATTATTTACGACCATTTCGTTCGTAAACGTAACGGATATTTGATCGGAAGCCTGAATGGTTTCTGAGATGAAACAATTTTGCTCGCAATTTTGGCACTTGGGCGTTCTTTAAAACCTTCAGGCGGTCACATCGGACCAGACCAAATCCACCAAAGTTACAATTTACGTTCGCGAATTACATAATAAATAATAAACTGCTGTGTGATTGAAGTAAAGTAGACAGCATGAAACGTGAAGTAATTCTAGCAATGAGTTTAATGGCGAAAGTTTGTTTGGCAAGTTCGAAATAATAAAGAAGTCCCTGTTCTTCAAAAGCGATATCACGAATAATGCAATCATCTGCAACTAAGTACCTACTATATGTTTTTGCATTTGTATGAATTAGGAAGCTCAATTCAATAAGATTGAATGTTTGAATCGAGGTTTGAATACAATTAATTCAAAACCCTAATTCCCCGTTTATGCAATAATTGTCTTAGATAGTTACTTACTTGTACTTTTGTATTGTAATAGTAGGTACTTATTGTTATTCTATTATTCTTGCTGTTCTGTATGGGTCGCTGCAACCGGTTTAATTTGTTCAAATTCCTATTTTTCTGTTTATTTCGTGAATTAGTACGATGGTTTTGTTACGAGATGGCAGAGGTATGGTTTAGGTTTGCTTTCTCCCGACGAGTTTGCGCTTATAAACAAAATATTTCTAGCACAGTACATTACGCCGTCTTAATAAATTTGTTAATGTCGTGTTTTTTTTATTTTGACGTATCTGAAGTACAAAAAGTATTTTTTTCTTAATATTTTTTGGGTGTGATAAAGGTATGCAAAGAAAAATGAACACACTATTATAAATTGCACAGTATACGATCAATAGCAGAGAGAAGCACCATTTTAGTATTTTGCACGACGTCTCAAAGGTCAAAATGCAGGAATTTAAGTAAGTTTTTTTAGGTGAACATTCCGTAAGAAAGTCTTGTAGCATGTCGGCTTCCCCTGATTATTGTCGAAGCTCGCCGGATTACAAAGAAAGAACGAAATCACGTTCTCGATCTCCACATTACAGACGCCATAATGGACACAGATCTCCTTCGCATCATAGTACACGTAAATCATGTAAGTCGATTAAATATAATATTAAAATCGACCCCCAACGCCCCCATTAACGGCCTTATGTTAGATTTGTGTTGTAATAATGATACGTCCTTAAAGGTTATACAGCCGCCACCTTGTGTCATGTAAATGTTTTTAAAATAAAATTTCTTGGTTAACGTTTTAATGACCCTACATTCTTATGGAACAATTGGCTCTAAACCACGCGATTAACGTAAACAGTAATTAGCTAATTACTGACTATTGCTAATAATGAAACTTCTTTTAAAGTCAAATCAAATGTTTCTTATTGCAATAATTACAATTTGTCATATTCTAAAAGAACCAGTTTAAACAACCACACTGATATAAGACACTAGGCATCACCATGTGTCAGATTAAAATTGGTACATCTTGAAACCAACATCTTTGTAGCTGTAGGGAGGTATAGTTTTGGGTAGTGGATTGTATTTTGTATATTGATTTGTTTTGTGTCTTGGTGATTTTATTGTCCGACCATCGCTTGATTACCTAATTTAATCTGCCCTGTTTTTAAATTTATTGTTTGTGTACTCTACACTCTACAGGAATGGTTTTCATACGCGAAACTACAGTGAGTCTTTCTTAAAAGCCGTCTTACACTATGCAATTTGTTGCGCAAGAAAATGTAGCAAACATTTATGAGCTGACTGCTTTATACCTCGCTTTATACGGGACCGACAAGAAATCCAAATTGCAACTTTTTAGGGACAAATTATCCAAATAATTTGGATTGTTTTCGTCAAGATATCCAATTTTTATCGACAAATTATCCAAATCCAAATAAAGCGACAAAATATGCAACCAATTTGGAAACTCCGATTTGGATATCTTGTCGGTGGCGCGACAAGATATCCAAATGTCGAATTTTTTTTAGACAAGAAATCCAAATTTTTTGGACAAAATATCCAAAAAGTTCGGAAATTTTTTGACAAGATATCCAAACTTTTTTAGACAAGAAATCCAAATAGTTTGGAAAGTTTTCACCAAGATATCCAATTTTCGAATAGATAAAGGTAGGTACGCCGCTTTTTCGTCTATTTGATCATTACCTATACGTTTTTAACAGCAGTTGTCGCAGTTGTTTTCAGCGTGAGAGCTTTGTGCTTGTCAAAGTGCTGAGTTTAAAAGTACTGATTAATTATAATTTTAATCAGGCATGAACCTTGTGTGGTAGGTACGAAAAATTCCGTGTCAGCATTTCAATTTCAGTGTTAAAACACAGCATAGCAATTAGCATTCAGCATGTTTTTATACAGCGTTTAATAGTGTAGTAGGTATAGTTTATTAATTTCATATTTAGGCCAGTCAACATCGACAATAAATCAACAAAACATGATGTATCTCTGGTTTTTTAGTATGTTGTTTGGACCCATTAGAGTAGTGTATACTCAAGTTTGCAACTCTCTAAAAGTTGTGGAAAAAGTGTAGTATACGAAAAACCGCGAAATTTTCGGACTTTTTGCAGTGTTTGCGTTATATTTCCTTAACTAGACATTTTTCGACAAAGGTCACTATATACGTTTTTGAAGAGTATTAAATGTATAACAATTTGCGCCTAACCCGAGCTCTGTAGGTCAATTAGTTACCGAATTACGGCACTTTGAAGATAGTCATTTTTTTTCCAAAAAGTGAACATTTGAGTTTTACACCTTCTTTAGATAGAAATTGCGGCTAAACTATTGACCCTACGCGTAGAACTTATGAAATAGAAGTTGTAGATAATTTAATTAGCTTTAAGGCTGTTTGTGAATGGACTATTTCGTTTTTCATAAATTTCAGGCGTAATTATAGTCCGATTTTTTTGAAATTTTGCACATTTGTGCAGTTAACTGTTACTATTTGCGCTGAGATCTCAAAAATTGAATAGTTTTAAAAACAAGCAAAAATTTTTGTAAATAATAGACATATCAAAAATCGAAGATCTCAGCGCGTACTATCGATGAAACATAATAGGGTTTTATGAAATGACAAATTTCCATTTTTTTGTAAATAAATCTGTAATTTATGAAAAAAGGTTTAATTTAATTTTGCTACAGACGGTGCTGCCCCTAGCAGTATATCAAATTAGTGTATGTTAACTCCGCCGCTTACTCCCACCACTGACAATGCGAGTTGCGAGCACATTCGGTTAGAATTTTTATTTCTTCACCTTCTTTTCTTTATCATTATTATGGTAATTTTAAAATAAAAAAATTATATTTACATGACCATTTTAGATATCGCGGGACAATACGTTTTGGGAAAGTAACATGAAAAGTCAAACTTTTATGAAACATGTCTTCTCCCCGAAATTATCGACCCTAGATTTCCTAGGAATTTATCCGTAAGGAACCCTGAACGATAATTATTTTAACACTTTTCTTATCCGAAGCGTGGGTAGGCAAAAATTTGTTACGACTTTATATTTATTTTTGCATTTTAGTGAGTTTGTCGAGGTGGATAAAATTTCATTTACTTTGCACATTTTAATTGAAACTTCAAATCACATATACATTTAGCAACGAATTACAAGCAAAAAAAGTCAACGCATTGCTTTCCCAATTCCAATATACGTGAAAACCGCGGAGAAGGGTTTCGGTACTATTCGGATACTGTACGAAATAAAAAGGTACGTTCTAATTGACTAGCGCGTATTACATTGGTTCTTGTCTTTCCGCCTTAATTCTGTATTCCCTTTACCGTTGCCCCGCAGGTGCAAGTCGAATGATAGTTACAAACAACCTTAAGTTAAGCGTAAAGTGGGGTCTGCAGGTCTCGTAGTTCTCTCTAAATCTCAAAAAAACCGATATAAGGTAAAATCGCATTTATCCAGAAATGTTCCAAAAGCTTTTTATTGTTTTGTTTTTTGGTGTGGTAAAGAAAAATTTGCCATGCAATCATTAAAAAACGTATTTTAACATTAACGTGTATTTTAATATAAACATAAGTCATAAAAATTGTAGGTATATAACCAATAAATCAAAGATACATCAAAATCGTCTCCTTGTTTTGAATGGCTCTGGGCCGCCACTTTCGCTGCACTCTTTAACAACCAGGTCCTCTACTATTGGTGGATTGTTGTCGCGATCCTTTATAGGTAGGGAGTCCAGTATTGCTGGACGTCAGGGTTGTCTTGAGGCTCGTCATCGTCGCCCTCTTCGATGATGATAAGAGCAGCGTTCTGGCACGTTTCCCCAGCGCAGGTAGCACACATCACAAAGCATTTGATACCTGCTTTCAGGCAAATACAGCCTGCATCCCTTTTTGCATTTGCCAAGAAAGGAGCTCTGGGGGGGGGGGCAAGAAAACAGAAACCGAAAAAAGAAATTACCTGCTCAGAAGTGAAGACTGCAATTTTTCGAAAACGTTTAATGAAAATCAATTAAAATATTTAGAATTGGGTACACACAAAGGTTTTATGTGGAGTCGTGAAACGATTGAAAAAAGCGATGCAACTATTTTTCTTGTGATGTTAAAGGCTTAAACTATACGCTCACAAAACTTATTCCCTATCCAAAAGTATCCGACTATCCAAGACCGACTGCAAAATACATATACTTTCCAACTGTTGTTCAATTTCAAATTTCGCGGTTCCCAAACTGAGCCAAAATGGCTGCTATTCGCGTTACTTTAGTAATCTAGGGACTTTATGTACAATGATATCATTGCGACCCCTATCTACGACTTACTAAACTTTGATTTGTGCCTTAATTTAAATCTATGAAATTGTTGGATATTTAAAATTGACTCTATGCAGCAAAAAAGTGATTTGACATATTGCTTTTTTATTCCCACACCAAAAAACAAAAGATAAAAAGTTTGTGGAACATTTCTGGAGAAATACAATTTTACCTTATATCGGTTTTTTTGAGATTTAGAGAGAACTACGAGGCCTGCAGACCCCACTTTACGCTTAACTTAAAGCTAATTAAATTATCTACAACTACAACTTCTATTTTATCATTTCTACACGTAGGATTAATAGTTTAGCCGCAATTTCGATCTAAAGAAGGTGTAAAACTCAAATGTTCACTTTTTGGAAAAAAATGACTATCTTCAAAGTGCCGTAATTCGGTAACTAATTGACTTATTTATATTTTAATTGATCGTCATTAAAACTTCACTTCTGTGCAGGTAATTTCTTTTTTCGGTTTCTGTTTTCTTGCCCCCCCAGAGCTCCTTTCTTGCAAATGCAAAAAGGGATGCAGAGGTGGCTGTATTTGCCTGAAAGCAGGTCTCAAATGCTTTGTGATGTGTGCTACCTGCGCTGGGGAAACGTGCCAGAACGCTGCTCTTATCATCATCGAAGAGGGCGACGATGACGAGCCTCAAGAGAACCCTGACGATCCAGCAATACTGGACTCCCTACCTATAAAGGACCGCGACGACAATCCACCAATAGTAGAGGACCTGCCTGTTAAAGAGTGCAGCGAAAGTGACGGCCCAGCGCCATTCAAAACAAGGAGACGATTTTGATCTATCTTTGATTTATTGGTTATATACCTACTACAATTTTTATGACTTATGTTTATATTAAAATACACCTCACCGTTTTTTTAATGATTGCATGCAAATTTTTCTTTACCACACCAAAAAACAAAAAAATAAAAAGCTTTTGGAACATTTCTGGATAAATGCGATTTTACCTTATATCGGTTTTTTTGAGATTTAGAGAGAACTACGAGACCTGCAGACCCCACTTTACGCTTAACTTAAAGCTAATTAAATTATCTACAACTTCTATTTCATAAGTTCTACTCGTAGGATCAATAGTTTAGCCGCAATTTCTATCTAAAGAAGGTGTAAAACTCAAATGTTCACTTTTTGGAAAAAAATGACTATCTTCAAAGTGCCGTAATTCGGTAACTAATTGACCTACAGAGCTCATTTAATACTATTCAAAAACGTATACAGTGATGAAAGTCGAAAAATGCATAGTTAAGGAAATATAACGCAAACTCTCCAAAAATTCCGAAAATTTCGCGGTTTTTCGTATACTACAC